AATTACAGTGGGCTAATACCGGTACTCTGATATGATCTATCTGTATCGTTTCCTCTGGGGCACATTCATCACTGTAGTATCAATTCCAACGTTATACATTTGAAGTTTCATCAAATGCCATAATGTACATGCATTGGCTTGTCATGTACTTTCCGCATCAAACAGAAATATCTGATCCAGCTGGGCCTCCTGCCATGTGCCGTTGCCCGTGAAATTTTATCTAACATCCGGCGTCCAACTCGAATATCGTACAAAATCGTACCCTGGCCTCCCAGAATATGATACAATGTCGCCAAACAGTCTCCCGCCTTCTCAATTCTTTTCAATCATAGCCTTGATCACCTTGATCTGCTCCAGCACACTCGACTTGCTGGTGCCTCCCTTGGCAGCTCGCATCTCTACGCTCTTCTCGTAGTCAAACACCTCCTTGATATCCTTCTCAAAACGAGCGTCCACACCCTTGAGCTGCTCATATGAGAGCTCGTTCATGGGGATACCAGTTTGCTCCGACAGCGCTACGCAGCGGCCGGAAATATGGTGCGTCTCACGGAAAGGAACACCTTTGCGGACAAGGTAATCTGCCAAGTCTGTGGCAAGCATGAAAGGGTCGAGAGACGCGCGCATCTTCTCGGGCTGGATGGCGAGAGTGGCCAGCACGCCATTGGCGATCTGAATGCTGTCGGAAACCGTCTTCACGTGGTCGAGCATCGGCTCGACGCTCTCCTGGAGGTCCTTGTTGTATGTACTGGGCAGGCCCTTCAGCGTCATCATGAAACCGGCCATGTGTCCAAATGCTCTGCCGCTCTTGCCTCGGAGCAGTTCCAAGCTGTCGGGGTTCTTCTTCTGGGGCATCAGGGAGCTTCCGGTCGAGTACGCATCGGCCAGGCGAACGAAGCCAAACTCGCCGCTGGAGTAGATGATGAGATCCTCAGCCCACCTAGACACATGTTGCATCAGCATAGAGCCCCACTGGAGAAACTCGGCGACGAAATCGCGATCGGCTACGGCGCCCATAGAGTTCCAGAGAAGAGCATCGAATCCAAGCTCCTCTGCCATCATCTCTCGGTCAATGTTGAAAGGGTTGCCAGCAAGCGCACCGCATCCAAGCGCACTGCGGTTGACTCGCTTGATCACCTCCTGCAGCCTCTCCAAGTCATTGGCGAAGGCAAAGCCATATGACAGCATCCAATGGCTCCAGCGGATGGGCTGCGCTCTCTGCAGATGAGTATAGCCCGGCATGATGTACTCGATCTCCCCTTCAGCGCGGCTCGCGATCACGGTGATGAAGGCGCGCAGGTGTTCCTCCATTGTGCGCAGCTCGTCGCGCAGCCACATGCGCATATCGGTAGCAATCTGCTCATTTCGAGAACGGCCAGTGTGAAGCTTGCCAGCAACATCCTTGCCAATGATCTCTCCCAAGCGACGCTCGTTGGCTGTGTGGATGTCTTCGTCGACCCCGGGGACGATCTTGAAAGTGCCAGCTTCCCACTCCTTCTTGACCTCGAGCAGGCCTTTCTCGATCTTTTGGAACTCGGCCTGGGAGATGATGCCGGACTTGGCGTTGGCGCGGGCAAAGGCAATGCTGCCGAGGATGTCTTGCTTGTAAAGAACCTTGTCGAAGTAGATGGACTCGTTGTACTGCACCATCAGGGGATCGAGGCCGCCTTTGAGAGACAAAGGGAACGCGGGTTAGCCCGTGGTGGTCGGATCAAGCTGCCTCTTCCAAGACCTTTGCGCCGACTTGTTCGTACCTGTAAAGCGACCTCCCCACAGCATGTTGCCGGCAGGCTTGTCTTCACCACCCATCGTATAAAGATTGAGGGTATGCGGGATTTATATTGTCCAATTGGGCGGATGAGTAGTGTTTGAAATTGAGTTCGTGTTTGGATTGTCGTGATAGCTTTCGGGAGGCGTTTGACTCGGGTTGCTGGCCGTGGGTCAAGTGGGGAGGGAGCTTTGGGAGCGATGGAGCAAGGCAAATGAATGACCCTGTGGAAAATTTTGGGAGTGACTCAATTCAGAATTCGTTATCGCTGCTTATCGGCAAAGGTGGGATGGAAATGAAGGTCCGACAACGGCTTGAGATCGGACTGTGCTCCCAGCGCTAGCGGGGAAGCTTGCAGAGTTCTCCACTGGTCCCCTGTGGAGCGTGGACCCGCCCATTCGGCAGGGGTCTGTGGATCTTTGCGGGCCGATGCGCTGGTGAACGGCCCTGGTGACCAAGCAGGGGACGCTGCTGTCGAATTTCCTGTTGACAGCGGCCGGTTTTGACTTGTCAACATATGGATGGAAGAAGCCATCGCTCGCCTACTCGCCAGCTTTCTTGCGGAGCTTCAATATGTCTATTAATCCAAGTACGGGTCCGAATTTCCACCATCCTTTCCAACTCATTATCAGACATTCTTTCCATTAGGATGCGCTTTGGAGCCTGTCGTTTGTCCATTCTCCTGGATAAACAAGTCACAAGTGTGATAATAAGAAAACCATGGAAATCTTGCAAGGCAAGAAAACTGTACACTCTCGTCGTCCACACATGGTTGTGGCTCATCCGGGCCTTACTGTGAGGAGAATCGTATCCAACACAGGGGAGTAATTACCTGGTATCCCCTTTTCAGATGATTGAAGAGCTCCTTTCTGTGTCATGAAGCAAATTTGCTTCTGGTCTATTTCATGCTGGTGAGTATGATCTCAAAGACTTTAAGGTTCTGATGCGGTGCTCAATACCGGATCGCTGCCCGTGAATCACAGTATGGTTCAGTCTCTCGCAACAGAATACAGTATGTCACAAGAACTGGACAATGTACAGGAACGAGGAATTCAAGCTGTCGTCCAATCTTCGCAAGGTGTGGAGCACCAGCTGGGAGAAACCGCCATCGACGTCAAACAGCACTCTCTCAGGGCAGAGAAGGAAGGAACATCAAAGCGAACACACCGAGTCGAGGAAGCATGCAATTTACGAGTCCCACCCCAGCGTTCTTCCCATCAATTGACACGAAGCCTCGACCAAACGCAACTGCCTCAAACGTCCAAATGGGCAAAAGAAAAAGAACAACGGACGATCGCTCCAAGCCGCTCCCAACTCTGCAAAGGCAGGCACCAGGTCCCGAAACGACAGCAAGGAACTTGAACCACATCCAACATTTGAACGCGCCTGAAGATGTGAACCAACCAGAACAAGGCCAACCCGGGTCAGAAACAACCACGAGCGCGACGTCGACGACCGCGATCGCAAACGACCTTACAAAACGCTCGCCCAGTCTCAACACCGACTTGACTGCACAGCCAAGCATGGCCGGCCGAGATGCTTCGACCGCATTTAGTGATGCGTTGTCAGCGTTGCTCGCAGCCGCAGTCAACATATCACGGGCTCCTGAATTGAGGTTTGTTTCTTGTCTGAGGACAAGGTTTTTGATAAAGTCTACGCCTAAGAAACATGCTTCAAAAGCTTCACCAAGACTGTCGCGGAATGATGGAGTGCCCTCGGCACAGAAAGACGAGACGCCAATCATAACCTCTCAAGATGCGCTCCCGTGCGGCCCTACCGCCTTCTCCTGCTCCACAGAGGATTCAGAGTTCAAATTCAAACCTGATCCCGGAAGCGCGCCACCAACCTGGCCAGTCTGCGAACCTAAAACGGATATCTCCCACTTTCCTCTGGAAAATTCAGAACCAGACACTCTAGACCCCAAACCAGACGCATGCGACTCGGAATGGGGCTGGGATTTTGATCCGCCCAACTTTCCCGCCAAACAAGACGACGACATGATAGGCGACTGGGCTCAATCGTTCCCTGCCGGGCTCACTGACCCGGTCAGTGAACCGCAGCAGGAAATACCCCCGACAAGTCCATCCCGTGGTCGTCCAAGACACGGGGAGGAGAGATGGACGCTCGCGAATATCCTCAACGAAGGAGGAGACCGCCCGGAACGGAGTCTTAGCTTGGTTTCCGAGAGCCGAGTCAAGCTGAGGAAGTTCCAGCCACCTGACTACGATCTGGTACCGAGAGAGAGCAAACCAACTCTTGCGCCGGTCGTCCGACCGCCATCCCCTCCTGCGCAGCGGCCTACAGGTTGGACGAGATCACCCCGCTGGTCGCATGTTCACCGTGTGGCTGGCCTGAGGTACCCCAAGGTTTTTGCCGACCAGGTTGACATAATGGAAGAGAGGAAAGACTTCATCAGGATGAACAAATACCAGGCTGTTTTGGACAAGGAGAAAAGGGACGAGGAAAAGAGAATGGCCAAGGAAGTGAGAAGAATGATCAGACGTCGTAAGAAGGAGATGGAGGCAATCATTGCAGACGTGAGAAGGCTCTTTGGTGTGGGTGGAGAAGAAGATGGTGCGCAAGATGGGCAGGACAGGGACAAGAACAAAGACAAGAGTCCCGGTGAATGGGACGCCCCCATGTCACCAGCCAGACGTATGCTACCAGATGATCCTTCTGATCCAGAAGCATATCTGTCCAAGAACAGGTACCGGAAGGCGAGGAGGAGGGAACGTAGGAGGAATAAGAAGAAGACGAGTGAGGAGGAGGGCAAGGACAATGGTAATGGGGCCATCGGTTGGCTGGATCAAGAGGTCTACGAGGAGTCACGCGCGACAGCCGAAGAGTGGGCCAGGGGGCCTCAAGAAGACTGGATGGCGAGCCTCCCAAGATCGTTCATGTTATTGACGGAGGAAGCCAGGGAGAGGAATAACGAATGGGTGTTTTAAACAGGCCTTAGAGCGTCATTGTTGTTGTGTCGTATACCTAGCGTGTTATAGCAGGTAGAAACCGGAAAGCGAGCTTGTTTTCTGACAAAATATATGTCACACACTGAGTAAAACAAGGCGTACATGTGTTAGTATATGCCACAACAGCGTTGTTCCTCGGGCTCCTCCAAGCTTCAAGCCACGTTCTCTCAAAAGGCTCCATGTTCCGTTGCTGACTCGTGTGACATCCACTCCAAGCCACAAAGGCCACAGTTTCGAGCCTAAACAGCATCAAACAACAGAGAATCGGGACCTTGGCGCAGTTGGTTAGCGCGCAGGTCTCATAGCTTCCTGGCTATGATCTGGTGAGAACATCGGAGTCATCCTGAGGTCGTGAGTTCGATCCTCACAGGTCCCATCTGTCACTTTTGTCCTTGTGCTTTTTGACGGCGGAGAAGATGTTGACTTTTTGCTCTCGCATATTATAAACTGAATAAACCGTTCAACAATACTTTGACACTCCTCTGCTCGGTCAGATTGCTCAAGCCCAATTATAAGGTCCCACCCAATCCATAGGTACTTGACCGTCCCAGCCAGACCAAACGCCAATTCCAAATAAATACACCCACTCTGCTCAATCAATATATATACAAACTATCATTCCACATTTCGCTTTCAGTGTCTACTCCTTGTCCGCCACAGCATACAACGGCTGCAGTCGCCCATGCTTGTCACAGGCTCCGAACCGAGTCTCGTTGCTGTTGAGTGGGTAAAAGATGTACCGCAAGAGGAGCTTGATGAACCCGGGGGCAGGCGGCCAGCTCTTCCAAAGACCGTCTTCGTATTCGACGTCGATGTTGGCGAACATGACAGCGAGCTTGGACAAGGAGACCGATCCCTGTTTGACAAGGCATGTTAGTACGCTCTCCCTGAAAAAAACATTTGACCTCTGGGCAAAACTCACCATGGCATCCTTCCCCATCGTATCCATCTTCTTCTTCAGGCTATTCTCGCCGGTAAAGATGGCCGAGTACTTCTTTAGTCCCAACAAGGTGGGAATCTCATCACTAAGATGCTCGGTGAGCACCTGGCCGAAGTTGTCGATAAGCTCGAGGACCTTCTTTCCATCGTATTTCTGTTTGCCAGCCTGGAGGTCGGCAACATAGGCCATGAAATGTTCCAACCCGCCGTGGAAGGCCTTGTGTTGCTCGAGGTTACCCGCCATGAGGCCCTTTTCGCCGGTGAGCTCTTCAACCCAGGGAAAGAAATAGGCCTCTTCTTCGTGGTGGTGTGTGTTGACTAGGATGCACCAGAGATCCATGTACGCGGTAAAGTCTTTCTCGTCGGCCGGCTTGATGTGTGGGGCCTGGAGGTATATGGAGTTGAGGCCGCGGACGATGAGGTTGTGGACGGCACACATTTCTGAGGCGACGTAGAGGGACTCGTCCTCTGTGAGCTATTGGGTGTTAATTGGCGAATTATTTGGTTTTCAAGACTAAATACATACATTGTTGCTTGGGTCCTCCTTTCGGAGCCGGAACAGGGGGCTTTCGAGGAGCTTAAAGGGGCCTTCATGGGCGTAGACGGGAGCCATTGTGGAAAGAGGAAGCAGTATAAATGGAAAGTTTCAAGGGAAAATGGGTATCTGAAATGAAGAGAAGAGTAAGAAAAGAGATGACCTTATATGCAAGTTGAAAAAAGACGACTTGATATGCAAGTTAAAGAGTACAATGTACCTAGTGGCCGAGGTGGTTGAGTGAAGGTGAGCTTGCTTGAGCTTGAAAGAAAGCCTCGACGCCAGGGGAGGGTAGATGCCGTGTTAATATCATATCTCCAACCGTGCCGGCAAACATGTCCGCTTTTGTGACACCCAACAAAGAAGTCTCTGCGAGAGATGGTATTCTCCAGAGTAAAATAGCACGCGCAAAAGTGCAGTGCTGGCATTGATTTGTATTAAACCGAGCCACCACCATGCGTGAACCCCTGCCAGCCACCACCAATCGGCCCCCACAACAGCAGAGCTGGCTGTTGTCCCAGGCCTGGCAGGGCTGCTGGAAACCAATCACATTAACGTTGAAGATGCTGACTGTACTACCTTTTACCGGGGACTCTTGACAGATCCTTCCCAAGGACCCCAGGATTGGGCGCAAAACCCGAGCCGAACTGGCCAAGCAATGACTGATGGTCCCCCATTTTTGACGTGGCATCTCGACTGTGCTTCCTAAACAGACAACAATACCCGGAACCAAATTCCAAAAACAAAACGAGTCGAGATACGAGCCAATCCGGTCTCGAAACCCGGCGGCAAACCCGACTGTGCTGCCCACCAGTCCTGTCTCCGGGCCGGCATCTTCACGGCGGCTTCTCTCAGCTTACCCAAATAGGAGACGTCACACCTCGATGCTGGATGGCTGAGCCGCTCTTGGCACCCAAGTTGCTGGGTCTACGTCGCCCGGGGGTCTGTTTTGGTACATTCTCACAGGGCTGCTACTGAATGTATGGTAGGCCAGTCTTGCACTGCCATGTGGCTGGAACTGTCTGCAAGCCCAAAGTGCTGGAATTTCTCTAGAACAACTGCATCTTCCACGCTAGAACGTTTTGATACCATCACTGCGGGAGGTTCTCAGACAGAATCATTCCCACCTTGGACACAGAATCCAGACCGCTGGAGGAGCCGAGAGAACCGGTGCATGAAACTCTGATCTCATGATAAGTCATATGCACAAACACACCTTTCAAATGCTCAACTCTCTTCTTCAGCTGCAACTTTCAACTTCAGTCATGTTATCGCCTCAAATGATGCTCCCTCCAACTTTGGTTTTCCCTCCACCACCTTACCCGCTCTGTCAAGCCACGGGCACCTTGGCAGCCTCGATGGGCTTGACAAACTTGAACCGAACCTCCTTGATAAGCCTCCCCTCCCCCAGCAACTTGACGGTAATCGGCTGGCTTTTATGAGCCTCAAACGCCGCGCGCCCTGCGTATCGCTCGTAAAAGTGAAATGCCTCGCGGTTGTCCGGATCACGGGCGATGCAGTATTGCAGCGTCCCTGGTTCCGAGGCCGCGAGACGGGTGGTTTCTGCGTAGACTTTTTCTAGGGCGTCTGCTTGGTTGGGGTGGGCAAAGACCTATGAAAGTGTGAGTGACTCGGAGCAATTGACTCGGGGTTGATGAGTGAAATGTGGCCAGTGTTTGTGCAACTGAGATATATCAAGTGAGTTGAGTCTTTATAAGAGGTCGTGTGAGGGCGGGCTTCAAATGGTAGGACCGCACTGAGTGAGACTGAGACTGAAAAGAGGAGAAGATGAATTTGACTCACGACACCAAAAACGCAAAACTCATCCTCCGGGACGGTCATTGACCCGGCAGTGAAGACCTGGTATATCTCGTCCATTCTGATCTTTTGATTCGGGCAGCTACTAGTACTTTTGTGAGGTCGTCCGTCTACATAAAGACGGTGCGAACGAGGAACTCAGGCTTCCACTACTGTTAGTTGTAGAGTGTGAGCTGGGTGAGGTCTACTTATATATTTAAATGAGATTCACCTTTCGACCATCTTCAAACCCAATCATTGAACCGTATATTGCAAGTTTTATGGGTCCGTAGGAAGATGCTACCTGTTTTGTGACTGTTTCACCCCACTGCATGGTCCCTTTCGTGCTGACCTCTCACCCTCTCAGTGTGAATCATTATGAATCATATTAAGCGATACTCGGTAACTATACCTAATACGATACAAGATACAAACTCTACACAAACTCTTCAACCACATGCTTTATGGTAATTACCTTCAAGGTTCTCCGATTCAACTCAACATCATCAACTCAAGCAGCTTGCCCAACCCTGGCTGACAAGCTGCGAATGTCCGCAGCCAAGATTGTCTCGGCAGGCCGTCGAAATCCCTCCTTGTAAGGGAGGCGCTCTTCACCTGAACCATGAGAGATGCCAGTCATTAGCAAGCACTCTCACATGGCAACAAGACAATGCAAAAGAGTAATGAAACTTACGGAAGAAAATGTCAACCCATTTGCTCTTGGCGTTACCCTCAACTCGGTCGCCAAAGACTGACAGAATGAGGGCCGCCTCCAACAGGCTAAACCCGTCTTCCCTGGCCGTGAAGTTGAACTGAGGGTTGGCCGCTGCGGCAGCAAGCAATCTTGCCCCGCGAGCCTGAGCTGCTGTGGCGATAGAGATGGTCTCATTTGCAAATAATATCTCAGCTACGGGAGCAAATATCTTGGGGTCAAAGTTGAGATTATCGCCCAGGGAGACATCCTGTCGGGAGAGGGAGCCGTCGTGCTCGATGACTTGATGCTTGCTTATCAACGTCTTGTTCTTGGTACTAAGGGGAAGGCTATGAGTCGCTATGTCTGCTTACCACCGTGCTTGGCTAGGTCATTCAGGTTCATGGTCCCTGGAATTCCCGTGGTCGATGTCGTCGACGCTAGCTCGGCAACTGGCCGAATGCCAGCCGGTTCAAGGTTAAGCGCCTCGTCGATGCCGTTAACTATCTGGTCGATAGAAATATTCCGCCCGCTTCGTGGAATGTAGTTGTGGTTTGCTAGGGTGTTAAGCATTGGGCATGGGCTGCGATCTGGCTTGCAAGTCAGTGCTTCGTTGGTCCCTTTTTCCGGCCAAAGAGGTTTCTCACAGTCCCCTGGTCCCGGCTTTTGATGATGATGATCTGAAGCACCGGGGAAAGCATTCACGACACCACTGCTTAGAGCAGCAATCGACAAAGCGGCTTTGAGATGCATCTTGGTGGCGGTGGGTAAATATTGGGTATATTCGAGCTGGGAGACGAGCAATGTTTGTATAAAGGAGCCTGTGGACCAAAACAGAAGGGAAATATATCATGGAGAAATGAGATTTCTGGACATATATACTCACGGTCCTGGTCTATACTCACACTCTAGCAAAGTCCCGGGGGCGTGTGCTTACGCTAGCACAGGGAATACGCAGCTCCTCGGACCCTTCAACAATTGGTAGGGATACCGGTAGGATCGATCACAAGATGAAGCTAAACAATGCAACATTGAGTTGCCCAAGGACCAAGGTGAGATCTCTCCCGGCCAGGTGGATACATGTCGCAGTCCCAAGCTTGTAATGTCCGATCTTCCCGATGCATGAAATTCACCGACCTTGGGTCCCCATGAACCCTTTCTTTCTGCACGTCTCGGAAAGCTTTTATATACCTCGAATGATGTATTATACCCCAGGCTGTAACTAAACAGGTAGCAAGCCCGTCCGAATTGAACGGAGCCGTCATCAAACCCCCTATTTGGACCATGAGCCGTCATTTGCCGGGATCGGGGTCCGGGGATGCCGTTGCCACAAGCTTGTTTGGACCTCGATGAGGATTCGTATGTCTAGATATCAGTCTGGACCATTCGTATTGTACCGACAAAAGTTACTGCA